CTGCTCTTTTATCTTCTGTAAAGTTGCTGGAGGGTCGGCTATTCCTTTCTTTCATGGCTATGAATTTTACTTGATTTTTTAATAACTGTTCAGAAGAATTTCTTGAGTTCCCGTAGGTTTCGTTTCTTTCTTAAGTTGTTAGTTTGTTTCATAGAAGAACAACTTTCAGTTTCTCTGCATGAACCTATTCAGACAGAAACAACCTATTCCCTAAAACTGTAAAGTACATTACCAGATCTGGTGTCCTCAACCTTGAATCAACAAGGCTCCCACATTTCTTAAAAGCGAGACCAGAAACACAAGTCGCACGTCCTATTCAGATGTCTGTATAAACGTGTGTATGCTGATACGTTCTCTGCTTCCGCGGTTATCAAATTGAATGATAGCCACCGTGAAATCTAATCGTGAAATCAGAAGTGTTATCGTTTGTATAGTATGGATATAAGTTAAGCAAGTTATTTATGAATCAGTATTTAGCATTCCATTAAGATTTCAGTTAAGTTCAGGCGTTACAAACCCGCACAAGTATCTCTTGCTACTTTCATGATCAAAGTCCCATATAGTATTTAAATAAAATGCCGGCATTACGGTATATCGCCACAGCGCAACGCAAGCTGCCAAAATAATTTGTTTTTCTCTGACTCTGAATCGTTTCTTGATCTCACTCAAGATGTGCATCCCTATATTATTTTCGCTGGACGGTCACCCACCGTTAGTCTTCGTGGCGTGGCCGAAACAGCGCAGCTTTTGTTTTGCATGCTTAAAGAACCTGCATTGAGTGACCAACTCTTTAAGAACTATTTTCGAATTCTTTCCTTGAAATTCGTAACAGTCCCTGCAATGCTACATCTCAAACGATCCATTTGGCTCGCCTTCATCTCGGGAGAGAAAGGGGGTCCTCAGGATGGAAGGGGGAACCTACATGACCTCAAGCATGCGTACCTGCATGACCTGACGGACGACGTATCGTTTTGGGATACAGGTTGGGGTGGGCAACTATCAGGACGTGTGGCCTCCGCCTGTGGCGTGGCGCGAGTCTGTTTTTGGATGACGAGGGGTCTCTTAGACGAAGACGTGGCCGTTGCGTTTTTGCCAGCGAGCGACGCGCCTGGCGGAGCTTGTGAAGTGGACGCCGCTGGCGGCGAGGCTTTGTTTTCAGATTTGCCTCCGAGGCTTCTCGACCGATTATTCTTCCTCCTCCTTCGGTTCAATTTATTCGATCGTCGTCGCTTATTTAAGGCACTTCTTCGAAGAGGGTCGGACGACTCGCTCGCATAAACATCTCAAACTGATTCGCACATGGCGATTGCATCGATCTTGTGCTGATCTTGATGATACGGAACGTCTCCAGATTACTTTTTTGAACCATATTTCGAGAAACCATAAACTATGATCGATTGATCGATGATACCCGGTCCAATCAGAAGTGCAATGCGCGTCTGCCTCCTTCGTTCTGACTCAACGTCGAGCGGCTGCCGGACAGCGACCGGTCCAGCTTGGCGTCCTGTCTGACTTGGTATTTCACGCAAGACCTATCAACGAAAGAAGACGAGGAAACGACCTCAACCTCACGTGACCGCTGTCGGTCGGTGACGTTGAGGACGCGGTGTCGTTCGTACCTTTTGTCATTTGGCGTTTGGCGTCTGAACGGTTGCTACCTACGTACCCAGGGCAGTCGGTTAGTCGGTATTCTATTCTGTTCGCGTGACGATTGTTTGCTGAAGTTGGACACGCATTTCCCAGGGATTTGTGAGGCTGAGGTAAGTACCAGTGATTATCGACCTCTTCGACCTCTCACCGAAGGTCATGGTTTTATGGGCAGGTCATTCGAGCGATTCGAACGCCGTTTCATCGACTCCTCTCGGTCACTTAGCCATCTGCTCCCGATGGCCATTGGTAGGCTCCTATGTCCGATTTTCATCTAATCCCTTGACTCCTTTTCTCAATCGATGCTGTTATTTGATTGTCCAGGATTTTTCGCGTGGCTGTGCGCGTTTCGGCTATCTTGAGGGTCATATTGCTCGCCGAGGTATCCGTCCGTCTCATTACCGAAACCAACGATTCGCTTCCTTCGTTGTCGCTGACCAAACCCTCAGAGACATATCGGAATCAACTGTGCAATCAATGATAACGTATCACCGCAGCGTACACAGCTGTCCCAGTTTATCGTTGTTTGCCTGTTAATAGTTCAGCGGCCGAGGCAGCGCCACAGCCGCGCTAACTAACGTATGCTGTGCGCCGAGGTCAAGGGGTTCCTAAGCTGAATAACTATTCGGCTAGTTGCCGAACGGGAGAGGCAACACTGCACGGTCAAGTAACTCGCCTCTGCTCGACCACATCCTTTTGAACTTCAAGCTCAATGTTTCACTATTTGTAGTCGCTGACCGATCAAAGCCAATTGTCATGTCTTTCTCAAAGTGTTATTATTACAGTGATTTCTTCATCCATTCGAGAACGAGTATCACGCGACATTCT